TTGGCTGTGTTTTGAACACACGTGAATGCTAATGAAGTGAAAACACATTTTGTTAGGTCGAAAAAATGCGGCGAGTTTCCAAGATATTTGTTCATGAGAAATTCAAGCATTAATTAGCAAGGAATTGACGTTTAAAGATGTCAGGAGATACCAGAGTTCAGCTTACAGCTTCCGCTGCTTCCAATTTTCAAAATAATAATAACAATTTTAAGTCAGACAGCGTTTAAGTCAGACAGCAAAAACAATGCTCACCTTCGTTTTGATAAATGTCCACAGATTTTCCGGATATTTCTAACCTATTGGTATGCAAGTATTTTTTATGGTAATGGTAATTCTTCTCATTTCCTAACAGTATTGACAATTCTAGTAATTTTTAGCGCAATTGGTATTCCAGCTTATTCTAAACGGTATTGTTACTTCTGCTCACTGGTCACCGTGCTGACAATTCTGCTTTTATCAAGCAGTATCGTTGTATCTGCTCATTCTTATATGTATTTCTGCTCATATTATCGGTATTGGTATTTCTGCTCATTGCTAACGGTATTTCTGCTTATTCCTATAGGTATTTCAGCTCATTCGTAACGGTATTTCTGCCCATTACTAACAGTATTTCTGCTCATTCTTAAGGGTATTTCTGCTCATTCCTAACGGTATTTCTGTTCATTCCGAACGGTATTTCTGCTCATTCCTATAGGTATTTCTGCTCATTCCTAACGGTATTTCTGCCCATTACTAACAGTATTTCTGCTCATTCCTAACGGTATTTCTGCTCATTCCTAACGGTATTTCTGCTCATTTCTAACGGTATTTCTGCTCATTCCTAACGGTATTTCTGCTCATTGCTAACGGTCTCGGTAACGCCTCATGAAGCAAAACTTTACCATTTAAAGTCTTCTGCTCTCCCGTGTGAGTTTGAAGAAGAGGTCATGAGCGTCTGAACTCATTCAGGCGATTGAGAAAGTTTTGCGCTTCTAGAGGAGATTTTTAGAAAAAGAAATAGATTGTTGTGCGCTTCCAGGGAACTGTTTTAGAAATAGAGAATATAATACGTTTCTAGATGATGGTTTTAGAAATAGAGAGTAAAGTAGAGTAGAGTTTAGAAATATAGAATAGAGTAGAGTAGTTCTAGAGTAGAGTTTTGATAATAGATAATATTTCACGCTTCTAGTGTATGCTTTAGCGATAAATTATTTTTTACGCTCATCAATTATTTCCATACTCGACTGATTATTCAGCATCGACTGAAGTTACGTTCCATAATCAATCCTCTGTTAAGATGACTAAATAAGTATGAAAATTTTCAGTGCATAATTAGCATAATTTGCAGATGAAGAACAATAATAACACTTAATAAGCAGTAATAAAAGAAGAACATCATATTCAATCATCATTAATCAACGATTGATCGATTAAACAATGACGGAAGTCACGTTTCATTATTGGTGGCGTTGAAGCGGTAGCGACGTAATTGAAAAGTAATCAACTTAACGCAATCTTTGCCCAACCTTTGATGGGGACGCGGGGACTTACCTCCGCTTGTGGGGGATTTGGGGTAATTGGGGGACTGGGTGGTAATGGAAGGGAACGGCGTCGTAATGGAAGGGGTTGGTGTTGTAATGGAAACGAATAGCTATGCAATGGGAAGGTATGGCGCTGTAAAAGAATGAAATTATGTCGTAATGGAATGAAATACTGTAATGGGAGAAAATAATGTCGCAGTGGGAGGGATTAATGTCGTAATGGAAGGGATTATTGTCGTAATGGAAGGGGTTGGTGTCGTAATGGAAACGAATAGCTATGCAATGGGAAGGTATGGCGTTGCAATGGAATGAAATAATGTCGTAATGGGAGGGAATAGTTTTGCAATGGGAGGAAATTGCCTTGTAATTAAAGGGAATGTCGTCGAAGTGGAAGGGAATCATTTCGCTATTATTAGCTTTTAGGGATGAATTTTGTTTAACTGAAAAAATCGAAGGTTGTAATGTGGCAACGGAGGAGAATTGTGAGTTAATACGAGAAGTTTGTGAGGTAGTGGAAGGGAAATGTGAGGTAATACGAGGAGATTGTGAGGGGAATTTTTGCAAATAGACATAAGAGAATTATGCTAAAGTGGAATTTTATGATTCAACAGAGGAGAAAATTGAGTCAATGGAAAAAATTGACATGAAAATTTGCTGTTTGATGATTAATTGGAATTTTGCAGGGGATTTTGATGAGCATTAGAGACAAGGGTTTAGAGAAATTGTTCAATGATATCAAGGTGATAAAAATTGTTAAATATAAATTGGCTAATAGTACGGAATGAGAAATAAGAAAAAAAAATCGTAATTAAGTTTACCTACTAAATATCTATTTATGTCCTATTCCGTTCGTTGAACAGGCTAAATTGTTTCTATCAAATCTCGTTTAAGTATGGCATTGATTGGTGGCATAATCAGTTATATTTAATCAAAGCTTTAGTAATGAGAAATTAAATGCAAGCCGAGTGTGATAAGCGAGCGACCGAACGTATTGGAAATTTGCGTCCGTTGATGAACACTGATAAGTTACAATTAATTACAAGTGGTATAGGACATTATTGCAATGCATTTCCCAATTAAAAAATGATCAGGAAGTGTTGGTCAGTTGATTGTCATGACAATATTCCTCAATTATTTTATTGTGAAGTATAACACATTAGATCTTCGTTAACACCTTGCAAAGAATACGTGACTATTGCCGGAAGTATGACACAACATATAATTGAATTTGTAATTGTATGTCTACATGAAAACTATTTTTTGACACCTAATTAGATCTCTATTGGACATAACAATTTAAGAAGTGCCTATATTAAATCACTTTCTATACTTTTTTGTCAGAATTACAAAAAATATTACAGTTCGATTAGAGCGAACTAATTTAAGATGATGAAAGCTTAGATGCATCCATTGAATCAACAAATTAAATATAAAATTTTAGTTTTTGTTTGAATTTCCTGAAATTTACTAGTTATATCTAAAAATTTGAGGTCACCTAAACAGAAGTAACTTAAATCTTAGTTGCAAAACCCGCAGAGTTGCAACATCACTTGTCGATTTGGCATCGTATTAATGTTTTTTCGATTTTTATTTAGGAATCAGTTACAAACTGCCATAAATTTAATTTGGCGTGAAAAATTTGCTTTTTTGCCTAATTCTAGTTGAAAGGATGAGTAATTGTATCATAAAAATACACGCAAACAACTCTCGGAAAATCAGCGTGTCAGTCGAAGCCTCGCTTATAATGAAAACAATATAAATTTTGGCTCAATCAATGCAATTGAGAGATATTTGTGGAATAAGATTAGGGTTCGCATGCGTAGTTTTAGTAATTTTTATTTTCGCGGTATTTTAAACACATCGACTCATACTCTTCATTTTGAAACACAATTACGGAGTGGAGCCATTACAATTACACGAGTCTATTTCACTACGCATGCAAGCCAACATTCAGTCAGGTAAAATAAATTTGCATAGATAAAGCTTCGTTGGCATCAAAATGGGTGCTCGGTTCATCCCATGCATAATAAATGCGGACTTCCTCTACACGTGCGCGATTTTTCCGTAACAAACGAGTATCTCTTGAACACAAGTTGGAGTAGGTAGAAAATTGCCTAAATATGTCAAATTTTTAAAAAGCAGTTTAGTTTTAATGTCGAAATTGATATAAACATGCTGTTACTAGTTATATATTACTTTTTCCTGAAAAAAATAGAGTAAAACGTATTTTTATTGTACTATTTCATAGCCTACATAGCGCTAAATTAGTCCTATTGATATTTTCTTTCTATTTTAAAATATTAGGAAAGTGATCATATAGGAATAAATTAAATTCTAATTACACCCACGACGTATATTTGCATGCCAATCGTTCTCGTCATGGGCAATCAAAAACAGGAAACTCGTCTTATTTTTCGGACATAATTTTTCGTGGACTTGCAGTTATGGTTCGTCAATCTTCCGAAACTTTATATTAAAGAATGCCCTGGAGGAGCCCCACAGATATTAGGAAAAATCTGCCTCTAGTTTTAATTAAAATAGTTTGGGCGATTCGATTTCGATATTATGGGATCACTCGAACCCTTAGCTAGAAAATTCAGTTTTTATTCTATTCATATGAGCGATGCACTAAATATTTAGATTAAGGATGCCCTCGGAATATCAAGGATACTGCAGGAATATTCTGCCGATACAGTCAATTGTTGGAGGAAATGTGTCAAGGGAAAGAAAGAAATAAATAATGAGGAAATCTCAATAAAACCAACAAGATTAAAAAGTTTCCTTGAATGCTAGTGATGATAAAATAACAAATATTTGGGTAACGAAATGAAATGAGAATTAATAGTGCATGTCAGGCATACCACAATGAATATCTTAGATGCTGGTCTGACTTGCACCCTGGATATCTGAGATACCATAAAATATCTCCTTTCTTTGGTTTCTCCGGAAAAGATAAAACCTCAGACGTCAGAGATCCTTTTTCCAAGGAGAATAGCAGCAAAACGCTGGTTTTTCCCGCCTCAAGTAAAGCCTTCGCTAGAGTTCTCTCCGGTAACACTCTTGTGGGAAGTTTTGTCTTGCGCTGATGGATGAAGTCAACTTTTCTTTGTTATCGATATTGGGCCCATTTTTTCTGCCTTCGATCAGCGTCTGTTTTCCTTGAAGTTATATAAAATGTATTGAGTGGCTATCGATATAAGAGAATAAAAAATGCCCAAACTTACCCGTAAAAATAATTAACGTATTGTTAGAACAAACTAGGTTGCTGCTGTCAGGGCAACGTTCATTTAATTTCTTTTCGGACTCCGGCCTGTGTCCCATATGTTACGAAATTTACTCTGTTAGCTAAATATATTTTTGCATTGCAATCTTTATTAGCCATGAATTGAAACAATGGAATGTCTATTTAGGGCTATAACAAATTCTGATAAATACCAAAACCATGTTCGTTGATATAACAAATGCCCATTTTCTTTCCAGACCCGTCTCCGAAATGGCAAGATTTTTCTCGGGATTGTCGCCTCCGAAGCAACTGCTCACATCATTTGTGCTCCTGCTGCTATGCGCCGGACAAACTTTGTCTGTAAAAGAAGACCGACAATGTCCAGGAGTCTGCAGATGCTCGACAAACGAGCATGGCAAGCAAAGAACACTTTGCGAGACCGGAGGTCTGGTAGACCTGATACCCGTAGCTCAAATCGCACCAAACACCCAAGTCTTGATAGTAATGGGGTCTGAACACCTGCCGAATAACTTGAGTCTTGGCCCAATATTCAAGGAGCTCAAGGATCTCGAAGAAATTCATCTCACTTGGTCCGGGATTCCATCAGTTGGTGAACACAGTTTCTGGGGGATGAACAAGTTGAAGGTGTTGAATATATCCCACAACTCTCTCACTTCCATCGTCGACACTAATTTTCGAGGAGCCAACTCTCTTCTTCGCTTAGACTTGAGTCACAATGAAATCGAATCCGTGCCATCAGCGGTATTCAGACACATCAAGTACCTGAGGTACCTCTCACTGTCGAGCAATATTATACCTAAACTAGTACCTAGAATCTTCTTTGGACTTTCACGTCTTAGAGAAATGGACCTCTCGTACAATCCACTGGGCGACCTCCAACCAGAATTATTCAGTGACGTACCTGTATTAGAAAAGTTTTCGTGCGCAGGTTGCGGATTGATGTCAATTAGCGGTTCTCTTTTGAGTATGATGTCTCACCTAACGTACCTGAACCTTCAAAACAACCGATTGACTCAGATCCCGCACAAAATATCATTACTTCCCAGCCTTAACGTTCTTTTGTTGGACGGAAATCACATCTCGTTCGTTGAGACAGCTGCGATATCGGGGTCACCGATGAACGAATTATACTTGAGCAACAACCACATCGTTCGAGTCGAGTCACAAGCTTTCGCCAACTCCAGTATTTCAATCTTAGATTTATCCTATAACCGTTTGTCCAGCATCGCCCCTGAAAACTTTGACAACTCCATCGACCAAATAAGTGACTTGAGACTATCAGGCAACTCACTACGCATTGAAGACCTGCTGGAGATTCTTCCCATGGCTGAAAACCTTCGTCGCCTTAGTCTAGGTGACATAGGTCTTACCCTTGTACCAGCCGGCCTGATGCTGCACAGTTACTCTCTTCACTATTTGAATATGTCAGCAAACTACCTATCCGTACTCCCATACGACCTGTTCACTTCTTCACCAAATTTAGTGGAACTCGACATTTCGTTCAACGACTTTCGTGGTCTGTCAGAGGAAGTTTTGACTGCGATCGGGCGGGCTAAAAAGCTCAGAAGAATTGGTCTGAAGGGAAATCCGTGGTACTGCGATCAGTGTCATATCACGCCGCTTATGAGATGGCTCCAGAATTCTCCGGATCAAGAATCAAACTGCGATGATCCGAGGGTTTGGTCGTGTTTGACGTGCGTTGGACCAAAGACATTCATGGGAGTGAGCCCTAGTTTATTGCCAGAAGGAGACTTGCCCGAATGTGCCCGACTGGGGGAAATTGCCGACTCTGTCAACTCGCACGCCCCGGGACGCTCCATAGTCCCATCATCATTCTCTGACAACCCGGCCGACCCTCAGAGTCCATTGAATCGAAAAACTTTACAGAATTTCACAACTATCTTCAAAGAAAAGCTTCCCATTTTCGTGATCTGCTTGTGTACTTTCATTGGTGTTATTTTGTGTGTGGTGATAAGTGGCGTAATTTTCTATAGCCGACACTCCGCTTTCTACTACACCAACGAAAAAGAGCTCGAAAACACGAGCTATTTTGTCTCATCTGAGACACTGAAGTCACCGCGCTGGAGAACAAGTCGTTCAAACGGAAAAAATGGCTGCAGTGACGCTCTCGGTAACGGGTCAAACGCCCTCGGGACCGGATACAACGGGTATGAAGTCTTCAACGGCCCCGGCAACGGCTCCTATACGTCAAATAACCTTCATCGTCCCACCAGAAACAACAACACTAAAATTCCAGAGCGTCCCGCGGTTCAACAGGACACAGTGGCCATAGCCACCATTGAAGAGCTTGCGGATATCGCTGGCTCTTCGGAACTCGTTGACTCGAGATGGCCATCTTCTTCACTCCCGCCGCCGCCACCGCCGCTTGCTGCCGCCACCGGGATTACCATATTGGAATCTGAGCCCCGGCCTGGCAAAGCGTAGATAACGCGCCAATTGTTGCAAAATGCCACGCGTTTAAACGATCTCGAGGAAGTGGGATATCTGACTGCGGTCGTCGTGGCTTGCCATGTCGTGGAGAAGCTCGAGGAAAATTGCTTTTGTGATGGCACAATTGAAGCTTGGAAATTCTATTCAAATGCCATAGAATTTTGATGTGAACATATCTAGATGTAGTGTGGTTCTGCATGGAATCTATCATAAAAAGATGTTTAAAACGAGATTGAAAAGCGGTGTGATTTTGAAGTGAAAAAATTAGATTTATTTCTCGGAAAAGTACATCAAAAGAGCATTTTTTGCATGAATTTATTGAGAATTTTAATTTTTTTAGAAACAACTTTTTATGTTTCACTTTATACGCACCGGAAGATGTGAGTGTGAATTTATTGTATTTTTATAAGTGGAATAAAAAGTTGCAGCGAATTTCTAGATGAGTATGCAAATCGATATCACGCGGGAGAATTGAAAAAATAAACAAGTTTGGATTGGTTGATCGGAAACAGATAACAATTTTCGTCCAATTTCCTTTCAGAAAAATTCCTGCTTCATTAAATTTGGCACTTTTTCAGAAATTTGATACCGTCTACGTAGAAATAAGAAGTATTTTGTTCAACGAAACTTAGACAATATGAGGATGAATTCGGTTCAACCATCCATAGCTTTAATCATCTAGTTACTCGTCTAGTGACGATCAACATAGACAATAAGAGAAAAAAGTCCGTATACATAAGTTTTAAAAACATATATTTTCTTCCTCTTTGTGCCAATTTGATGCTATATTGATAAGTACAGTTTACAATTAGCACAGCGGTATGAGGTAGTTTAATATATTCATATGAGCTTTACTTGACATCAAATGCTTTTATTTAACGCTAATGCCATCATTCCATTACTTAAATTCTATGACCTTTTGCGCTGAAACAAAATTCGATCTGAATTCAAATTATCGAACAAAATAAATGTTGAGTATCACCCAAATTCGAGTGAGTTACATTTCAAAGTTGAAGGCACATGATGCGTAGAGTTTTCTTAGTGAAGAATACAGAGTGTTGAATAAATAGAAGCCCCATCGTCTGTCCATTTTAATTCAAAGTTGCCTGTGAAAACTCGAATAAGTAATTCAGTAAACACACATGATATTCAGTATAAGTAATTCAGTATCATGTGTGTTTCGAAGTATTCTGCGGGCGGTGTAATATCCTGCGTGTTGCCGTATTCATGTGTAATTCAGGACAAAGTATTGTTGCTTCTAGTACAAAATTCTGTGTGCTGCAGAATGATGAATAAATTAACTAGATATTTTTTGAATCTATTAGTCTGTTGTTGTACAGATTATCAGTGTACGATGACCGTTGTAACTAACGACCATTCGGAAACCTAATAAATATTTTATAGCTGAAAATATTGAGCACGAGGCTGGTTATTGTAAAAGAAAACTCCAGTATATTCTGTGAAATAACTCAGTTTTTTGTTAGGCTTTAGACAAAATAGAAATTATGTGTGGTGGGTTCATTGTATTCATGAGTCCTGAGATAAACGATAATACTAGTTTTATGACGAGTAAAATAAGTTTAGTTACTAAAATAGATACTGAGCTGACTAATAGAATTAGTCACGAATAAGTGCCAAAATTTGTGCTGGAACTAGAATGATATTAAGTAGAGCTCGTAGTTTTAGGTGGCGTGCTTGACAGATTATGATTTATATTGTTGATGTCCGGGTACTTTAAGAGACCCAGGGGCTCTAGAAAAATAAAGCATCTATGAGACCTAGCGGCTCTGAAAAAATTTGTCCAATCGGAGAAAAGTAAAACAGATTGGATAAATTTGAATTATATGAACCTGGGTTAGGGTGGTCTAAGAAAAATGGGTGCTCTTTGAACCTGGGTTTCCCAATTTCACATGAAATTTTGTAGTGTTATTCTTAACTTAAATTGGTAATTTCTGGAGCTGGCTGGCGACCAAATCATGGATTTGTATGTATCGTTTAAGGGTTGATGCTCCAATAATTGGAGTCTGGATAGATTCAGGATATAGATAGGATAGATTCAGGATAGAGATAGGATAGATTCAGGATAGAGATAGGATAGATTCAGGATGTTGTCGGGATGTAATATGAATGAAGTCAAGATGCAGTCTGGCTTAAGTCTTGCTGGAGTCAATTTGGAGTCAGGCTAGAAGTTTGCATTCGGTCCAGTAGGTCCAGCGTCGTGAGTGCAGTGAGGCTCGCAGCTCAAGCCCAGATCCTTAATTGTGCAGCGCATTAAAATGTTATTGCGCCTCAATTGTGCAGCGCATTAAAATGTTATTGCGCCTCAATTGTGCAGCGCATTAAAATGTTATTGCGCCTCAATACGATATATCTGATGGCCAAGCGACCATGCCAACGCAATATTGGGGCGTTCATATTGAATCTTATTGACTTATATTGCCTAGAGCAACCAATCAATTGTTGAACAAAATTTAGAATAATTCATTGGCTTCAATATTGCAGGACATTGATTGGTATTGCGTAAGACAGCTCATAACATATTGACTTCAAAATGCATTGCCTAAAAATTTAATTTTGTTCATTGCTATTGCGTGGTAAAGATAAACTTTAGAAAAAAACGATATTTCTATGATAAAATGGATGGTAATACGCCGCCTCATAGACTGGGTAAAAAGAAACATATGCATAAGATTTTTACCAACATAAAAAAAATTAGGCCGAACTGCCATGTTGCAGCCGTAAGCTTCACAAGACAATAAACAATAGATTTCTGTAAGTCTGATGATTCTGGTCAGAAATAATGCCAAATTTATGTATTCTTAAATAGCTTAAGCTTTCAGTCTACGAGATATTAAAACATTTTAATAAATTAATTTGGTCTTGAGGTATTGTTTTATTTAAACATTGCAATTAGAACAGGTCTTGAAATGGAGGAAGAGTTATCAAAAAAATTATAAGCCAAGAAAACGCCAAGTAAATCCGTTACGTCCTGAACGAAAACTTTCTGTGAAAATGTAAATAATTTACCTGAATTTTTCTTTGCTCCTGAATTCTTGGCAAACTTTTGCGATTTAGACACTAATGATACGAGAACTGGTCTTATAACGGAAGAACTGGCCGAAACTCTGAGTAATGTGTCAAAGCTTCGAGGAATACTTCAAAACTTCATGGAATAGGTCAAAACTTTAAAGAATAGGGCAAGGTATCAAGGAATAGGTCAAAACTTCAAGGAATCGGTCATGACTCCAAGGAATAGGTCAAGACCTATAGGAATAGGTCAAGACCTATAGGAATAGGTCAAGGCTCTAAGGAATAGGTCAATGCTCCAAAGAATAGGTCAATACTTCAAGGAATAGGTCAATGCTTCAAGGAATAGGTCAATGCTTCATGAAACAGGTCAAGACTTCATGGAACAGGTAAAGACTTCATGGAATAGGTCAAGATCTCAAATAGTAAGCCAAGACTTCGAAGAAATAGGTCAAGGCTTTAAGGAACAGGGGCAAAACTTTGCGGAATAATTCTAGCCTTTGAAGAACTCGCTCAGAATTAGCAACAGAATTCGAAGCGGAACCAGAAGTTCGGGACGGAGTTCTCAGAGTGTCGGAGATTCGCAGGGATCGGCACTCGGTCTCGCAGGAACTCCCAGCCAAAGGGAATCTCGATCCTACATCCGAAGGATCTGAGCGGCAATCCTTAGATCGGTCTTCGTCTGAGAGACGAGGACGATAAAGTGTGACGTGATGGGGGAGGGAATGAGGGGCAAGGCAGGGGGTCGAGGTAAGTGACTCCCAACCAACCTTACCTCCCCATTTCAAATGTTTATCATTATTATATTCAAAATTTTACCATATTTTTCATTATTCACTGTATTTTCACATTACTTTGAAGTTTTTCTTTCATTGCTGGTACCTTCGAAAGTTGCAAGCAAGTCATGCCAATGTCTTACTACTCCGGCAAATTTAAGCTGCCTATTTTATAACTCTAAATCCCCTCCTTTTCACCATTTTCCCCCTTTACCTCACCATGCACCCTTCCCTAAAACGAACGAAGATTTAACTAGTTTTTGCATTGTCCGGTATTTCTTTTATTGTTTCATTTTCTTTGTTTACTTTTTTATACCATTTTATCTTTCTCTCGGGATCACAGGGCCAATCAATCGAGACGACCGGATTAAGGTCAACCGGACAAGTAAATCTTGTGAAAACTAAGCCGATTTTTTCACTCTATCGGTCGGATAGATTCGACCTTTATCGAGCAATTGATGGCTGTAAATCTAATGTCTTAGAACGTTCCCTAGTAAACTCGTAAATTAATCAGAAATAATACTATATATGATTTTTCATCGTTCATTTACAGGAACAAAAATATATATACCAGATGACTAAGTGAAAAACTTCGCAAACATCGCATAAAACGTAAAGATTACGTAATAATAAAATAAAAAGATGACACCATAATCGATGGATAAATAAATTTTTTCAGTAAAAAGCACAAATAAAAGTTGCCAGATGTTGGTTTAGGACCATCAGCAGTTATACAAAAGAAACTTGTAAAATTTGTAACCGCGAAAGATTTTTCAGAGGATATAAATACAGCGCCATATCATATCAGATGGCTGTTTACGCAAACAAAATCGAAGAAGTTCAGAGAAGTCCTAGACAAGAAAAAATATGAAAAAATAAAGAAAAATTTTAAAGCGACTAATGGATTGAATTATTTGTCTTCACAGGCCAACGTTGAAAAAATTCTATGAAAATTACCATAATCCACTTTGCAATCTACAAAAAGTATCAACTTACATTAAATATTCTTAAAAAAAAGATAAGCGCGTCCCTAAAACTCACCTGCCACCACATAAAAAATGTGCCGATGTAGAGTGACATGCTTCACTGTTGAAAAAAACTTGAATATATAGAAAACCTGGGATTAGGAAAAAAGTTATAAAACAAGATGTCCTAAAGAACCATTGCCAATTTTACTGCCTATTATAGTAAAAGCCGTCAGAAGGCTTCATTTTAACTTATATTCAATTATAAAAGATTTCACTCATAAAAGATGGTTGTATTTACAGGGGTTGCGAAATTTGATCGAAGCATTAAAATCTTGTCAAGCATCACAATATCACAAAGTCAACTATATATACTATTGTTCTTATGACAATCACACGTTTCTCGTATTTGCTGTCCTTCAAGGGTTTACTAGTCGTCTATTCAACGCATATTCATTACCTAACATTTATTAAGGCGGGGTACGAAAGTAAACCCTCAATGAAGGAGATAACGTCTGACGTAAAAAGCAATCAGTCGAACCCGCTTCAACAGTAAAATTTATATATATGAATAATTATTTAGTAATGATTCCACAGTACATTTCTTTGGATGATGAGAGCCGAGATAGCGCATCAAAAGAAAATTTTGAACGTCCCAAATGGAAACGACGAACTAACGTCCCGAATGGAAACGGTAAACTAACGTCCAAAATGGAAACGATTAACTGACGTTCCGAATTGAAACGGTAAACTAACATCTCAAATTCAAACGATGAACTAACATCCCGAATGAAGGCGATTAACTGACGTCCCAAATAGTAAATACGAACAAACGTCCCAAATGGAAACGGTAAACTAACGTCCCAAATGGAAACGCAAACGTCCAGCATTAAATCCTATTCTGTTGGTCATATCTTCCGTCCAAAGACGCGTTGTGCGATATCCGTGCATCGCAGCAGCGGCGGAACATTGTCTCGAGGCTATACAGCTGCTGAGCTACATCGTTACCAGGCTATACAGCTGCTGAGCTACATTGTTACCAGACTATACAGCTGCTGAGCTACATTGTTACCAGGCTATACAGCTGCTGAGCTACATTGTTACCAGGCTATACAGCTGCTGGGCTACATTGTTACCAGACTATACAGCTGCTGAGCTACATTGTTACCAGGCTATACAGCTGCTAAGCTACATTGTTACCAGACTATACAGCTGCTGAGCTACATTGTTACCATACTATACAGCTGCTGGGCTACATTGTTACCAGACTATACAGCTGCTGGGCTACATTGTTACCAGACTATACAGCTGCTGGGCTACATTGTTACCAGACTATACAGCTGCTGGGCTATATTGTTACCAGGCTATACAGCTGTGTGCTACAGGGAAGCTCTCCCAGCCCAAGCTATTAACTTCATTTGAACTCCTGTTACGCCGGCCCTCGGGTGCGAATGTTAGTGAGGAGTGAAGAACACGCCTACTGAATATCATGAGGGAATAAATTGCATAGTTATTTGTATTGAGTGTTTACTTCTTTGGTTCGCTTGGGTTAGAGAAATTAAGGATGAAAAATATTCCTCAGTACTCACTGCAGTGAGTGACTGAGAGCGCATTTTCTCGTCTGTCCGTCCGTGAAATCACGGACAGATGGACAGACGGACGGACGGACATGACGAGCGCAATAGCGCATTTTTTCCATAAATGAGAAAATGCGCTAAAAATTGAAATTTTTCCGTATGAGAGGAAAGCGAAGTACGAAACAATGAAGAATCGGACAATAGTGAACGGAAACTTATTACCAAGTTAAAGCAATATAAATTTTTTTAAAGTTGTCTGCGATATTTATGAAAGATACATGATTAAAAAAATATTTTTAAAATAGATGTTCAAGTAAATTAAGAGGAAAATGATTGAAAGTGAAAGGGAATCGTATTTTCACTCAAATGCTTGACCTCTGAAATATTCACAAATATATCAAAATAAACTAGACGTTCACATTCATCAAATCAAGAGAAGAGCTTCCAACGCGTCACTCGACTCTCTCACAAAAAGAAATCTTTTGCACGGGAAATAGCCATAATGAAGAATTTCCTCAAAGAATTAGCCATGAGAAAAATATATTTTACCTGTTATTATTTTATGACATTAACAATTTTTGAACAGATTTTCATAGGCGGCAATTGTACCGGAGTAACTAAGACATGTGGGACTACAGTGCTGTGACCGCGCAGCATAAGTATAGTCAAGAGACATAGATCGTCTCTGTGTCAGATACGTGTCGGCTTGTTACTGGAAATACAAATCTCTGCTTGTGTCTGTGTTTGTATCCTGGCTGAGCCATACAGCAATATAATCGATTTATTTTTTTGATGAAAGTAAATTAATGGACACAAAAGAACAGTTTTCTTTCATAACATGAACACGTTATTAAAAATGAAAAAGAATTAAAATTCTTTGAAATTTTCCAAGAAGGTGAAGATTTCATAGAGAGGAATCTATCAAACTTCCGATCATAAATTCTATCAGTCAAACTTTACAGAAAATAATCATACCGCGTATATATTCCAGGCTGTAAAAAGACGCATTGATATGCTATACTGTTTCCTAAAATTACGCTTCTTCCTTTTCGGGAAAACACGAAGGGTATTGCAAACTTCAATAAATTTAATGCCTTCGAAACGTGAAGGTGAGGAAGATGCATGGGTCACTGAAGTATTTTGCAAGGCAAAAGTTTTTCCGCGAATCCCATCCGAATGGAAGAATCGAACGAGACCAAAAAAACTCGCAAAAATCCCAAGACATGCAAAGCATTTCTTTGTGAAGGCCAGGAAGATGCATGCGTTATTTAGGCACATTGGTAGCGCTCTTGAGTCTCTTAAGGCAGCTCTTAGCAGTGATTGGATGAGCATCTAGAGGCCTTATGACCACTTAGCGCAGTCATCCAGAGAAAACTGTGCACAACACCGGGCAGCTTGCAAGTGTTCAGCCTCCGTCATACTCACGACTTCCTAGAAATATGACGACTATTTCTTACGTCTGAGACGCCGAAAACTTCTTACGACTCACGCGTAAATGCATTCCTACGTCTCACACACAGACGATTTCTTACGACTT